GGGGGGGGGGGATGAAATGCGGTAAAGTTCGCGAGTCAGTACCGACGCGACATATAAATATATATATCTCTCTCTCTCTCCTCTCTCTCCTCGCGTCGTGCGCGAGAAGCCGCGCCGGTGGGAAAAAAATGCGTTCTCCGTAAAAATGCGTGCCCGATCGAGCCCGCTCGCGATCCCGATCGTCGAGCGCGATAGTTGTTTAGGCTGTCGCGGGAAGAGAGAGAGGGACGATTGTAACGGCATCGATCGCGCGCGCGCGCGCGCGTTGTCTCTGCTATTTCATGCGAGGGCGGGCGTCCGCGTATCGACGGAAAGCGGCGTCGGCGGCGTCGGTCGCGCTCTTTTTTCTTCCCTTCTTCTTCTTCTTTTTTTTTTTCATCAATTCTCCGCAACGCAGTAATATATGTATATAGCATTCGTTTCCTCATCATCGTTCTCATAATCGTTAGAGCTCATCTCTCACTCCATTACATAATCCGCGCACGCTTATCACTCACTCATTGTTGATTTTTAGGAACAGCTAGTAGCGAGGTTCGGTTACTCTATCACGCAATCTCCCGTACTCGAAACTCAAAACGCCAAAACCGACGCGCCGGTTTTGCGTACACGCGCACGTACGTAGCCGCGTTTTGAGAGTCACGCTCGTATGCGATGTGTAGCTCCGAGTTCATACACAAAATTCGATTTCAGTGTCGCGCGTGTGTGTACGTTGTGCATGCGTGTGTGTGTGTGTGTGTGTGTGTGTATGATTGTATTATATATGTATATGTCTGTGCATCTGCTGTTCGTGTCCGGTGTTCGTACGAATGCGTGTGCCTGATGATCGTGTGAACGCATATCACGATCCTCCATTGACGACAACGGGTCGCCTCCTCTTCGTCTTTCCCGCGAAAACGGATTTTCGAAAAACTAAGATCGCGATCTCTTGTGCGCTCGTCTTCCCCTCTCTTCTATTACGAGTATACGCGTATACATAGGAAAACGCGACAAGGGGGAACTGCGAATTTCGCCTTTCTCCTTCTCTCTCTTTCTCTCGTGATCTTAGCGGCTCGCGTTAGGTCGTCGCTTTTTTTTTTTCTTTTCTTTGTTCTGTTTTTCTTTTCTTTCTTTCTTCCGGAACATCTTGCCTCGTGCTCGTGGTGGTGATGGGGTTTTTATCGTGTGTTTGCGGTGGTCCTGAAAACAGTACGGGTCTGCAGCCGTCGAACGCGCGCGAGTCCGCGACGATCGCCTTAATTAGTCGTACGGGATCGGTCGTACCCGTTGGTAATTGTCTTATTCTGCGAGGTATCGGTTTTTACACGAAGAGAGATTCGACTTTGGTTTCTTGGCCGGTACGTCCTGTAAAAGAGGATCGCGCCGGTCGGAAAGACGATCGGCTGAAAATTTCGATATTAGCAATTCGATTAACTGTGTTTATCCTAGTGTACGTGAGTATACGTGTGTGTGTGTGTGTGTGTATGTTCACTTGGTTTTGTGTATGCGTGTACTCGCGTGTTCGTTGGAAACGTGTACGTGTGTTAAATGTACGCTAGTTCAACGCTGTAACGTTTATATAGATAATAATCAATACATGACCACATATACATGTAAATATAATATCGTAATCTATAATCATAATAATAATAATAATTCAAATATAATCTTAATAATCGTCGTGTTACCAACGTTACGTTAGAAAAAGCATCTTTTGCAGACAGGAACCTCGAGTTGCTTAGTACCTTAGAAATAGTTATTACTTCGCGTTTCGTTTGATCTTAACGACCACGTGTTAAACGCCCCAGAATCTCACACACCCCTCCCCCGCCTTCTCGAGCCCCTGTACCTCCCGGAGACGAACGCGCCCATTCGTCGGTGCATTCCTTCAACCCCGTCCATCGTTCCGCTTCGTTCTGCGACGCCGTACTCGTTCTCCACAGTAATGTACTCAGTTTTCTTCTTGTTTCTTTTTTTTCATTTTTTAAACTAATGATTCGCATAAATTCACGAACGCGACGAGTAAAACGCCGCGTGTTCTGCTTTTCGTTTCGTTTTTCTCTCGTTTCCCTTTTTTTTTCGCAACTTCCGGTGGCACTTCCGGCATTCCGCATTTTTTTTTTGCATACGCGCCGCCTTACCATATGCGCGAACTTTCGTTTCTTCGTGTGCGCCCTGGAGCGCTACCAGAGCGAGGAACACGACGTACGTACGCGTGTAGACACGTCACCGTTCCGGATAATATCCGCGAGGATTCTAGTACGTCACAACATCATATATATATATTTATATATGTATATATATATATATATTTATCTACTTAAATATATATATATATTCTTCTTATTTATTCACTTTTTATTCATTTATTTATATATATACTTCTTTTAATATATATATATGTATATATATATATGTATATATATATATATGTATATATATATATATATATATCCCTATGCGTGTGAGAAAGTGTGTGTGTCTCCGTATGTCATGCGCCGTCCTAGGCGACACGCGTGTCCTCCCCCCTTGCCTCTTATACTCTACGGTTTAGTCGTTATTTATTCGTAACTTACCTAATAGTGAATTCTTTGTCGTTCTCGATTTTACACGCGATCCCCCTGCTGTCGTCGATCGAGAGAGGTCGGATCTTTTGCCCACCTCCTCCAACCTGGTACGGTCTGAGTCGATGCGAGAAAAATCGTCTTGTCTCTAAAAATCTCCTTCTCCGAGACGCGCGTCGAATGACTTGTTGCTTTGTGTATCCCTTTCTTTTTTCTCCACTTTTATTTCTCTCCAGATCTCTCTGGCTTTCTATAATCGCAAGTTCAAAAATTCCGCCTTCCCGTACGATTTTTCATTCTCTCTCTCGCGCCAGACCCCCGCTCGACACGAGAAGAGAAAGGTCGGAGAACACGGAGGTCAAATACTCTGTCCCTTCGACGGTATATATCGGGTCACCCCCTCCCCCCTTCTAACCCCGAGTGTCGATGTGTGCCGATCGGTTGTATTCGATCGTCGAGCATTGCTAGCAATAATCGTTACAGCTACCGACAGCTCTCTAATACCTATCGTTATTACTATCGTTACGTTATTATTAGTTTCATTACCTTACTTTAATAGTATTGTTACTCTCTATTACCATTATTATTAATATTAATATTATTATTATCATTAATGTTATTACTAAATCATTTGTGTTTAGCGTTATTAAATATAATTTATTAAATATAGGAACCATGTGTTTCTGGGTCTTGCTTGCTCGTCGCGCACGTGTCGCCGACGGGCAACGGGGTTAGTTGCCGCCTCACACACCGTCGCGTTTTCCCTTTCGTCTGCCGTCTCGTTGCGTCTCATTTTCTGCTTCGGTCAAATTGCGGAAAAATGAAGACCGTTCGAAAAGAAAGAAAAAGAAAGAAGAAAGAAAACGTACGTGCGACCCTTTCTCAGCCGTGGAGTGTTGTGCCCGGTACGTACGCGTGTATACAGTGCGCGCGGGTGTGTACGTGTATGTGTGTGTTTACATGGAGTGAGAAAGTGACAGAGAAAGAGTATACATGTATGTGTGTGAATGTGAATACGTATGTGTGTGTATGCATGTATATGTGTGTGTGTGTATACAGTTCATGAATTTTCTCTCATTGCTCATCGTTTCCACGCGAATCGCGGATATCTCTATCTCGTTCGTGACAAATACAAAGCGCGCGACAACGTCCCTTTTCCGTTATGTTACTTCACGATCGCCGTCGAAGTCGCTGATTCACCATGCCCTTTCGACACACACGCACGCACACACACACACGCGCGCGCGCACATACACAAAACGGAGACACACGCACGTACGTGCACGCATACACACCGATCCATGGAAAACACACGCGCGTCAAAACGAGAAAGAGAGTGATAGAGAGAGACAGTCAGATATCTATATATATGTATATATATATAGATGTATGTATGTATGTATATATATATATATGAATATGTACGTACGTATTCGTAACGATGGCGGCGTTTTCAGTTTCGCGCGCCGCGCATCACAACTACCCTACTACGCCGCGCCTTGTCAGCGTGTCCACTTGTTTCCACCTGCGTTTCATCTTTTTTTTTTCCTTCTCTCTCTCCTGCTTTTTTCTCCCCCCTCTTTTGTAGTAACTCTGCTTTAAATTTTTATTATTACTTTACATAGGAACGTTTAAGTTAGCCCACCTCGACGCGCGTTGTTCCGCGTCGTCGACGCACTTTCCCTCCGGAACTCGCCGTTTCTCTCCTCACCTGTAAACGTACCGCGCGCATCGTTCCGAGACATGCACCCAAGATCAGTTCGATCCGATCGAACCGCTGACAGACCGACCGATCGACCGACCGACGACCGGTTGTCTGGCGGACCGGTAAGGAGGATATCACGAACACGCTCGTTCGATCCCCCGGGGCGATTCCACCACTTGTCCCTACGCTCGTCTTCGTCGAGTCTCTCTGTCCTTTCGCCTCCCTTCTCTCCCTTCGTTACTTATTTATTCTTCTTTGTTTCGCTTTCTTTCTTTCGTGCTACGAGAGGAACTTTGGAGAGCGCGCAAAACTTCACGGCGCGCGCTGCGCGGGATTCGCGTTACAAAAATAATAGGCGAATCGGGGCGGGGTCCCATAGGGGCTGGGAAGAGGTGTCGAGGGGGAGAGTGAGGGGTGGTTCGTTTAACTGGTTTTAACGCGGCAGTGGCGGTGCACAAACGACGACAACTTAACAGAGAAAGAAAGAGAGGAGAGAGAAAGAAAGAGAGAGAGAGAGAGAGAAAGAGAGAGAGAGAGAGAGAGAGAGAGAGAAAGTAGGAAGAGAGAATAGGGAGAGAGAGAAAGTAGAAAGAGAGTAGAGAGGATGGACGATGATCATCGCGTGTTCTCTGATCTCTCGCGATTGTGGTCCACCGTTCGCGCAATTTTTCTTCTTCCACCACTTCCCCGCCCCTCCCCGGCCCCTCTTCACCGCCACAGGAATAGGAGCACCCCACCCCCTCCCCCGACGGAGTGTGTGCACCCCAATGTCCGCGATGAAGAAGCCGGTGTGCGCACCCGACCGATCTTCACCGAGGTGTACACCCGTGCTCCCCCGTTAATCGCCGGTTAGGAACATTGCTCGTCCACTGCGAGGTCCTCGAGTCCGATCTCCTCCAAGCGACGTCCGTCGATTGCCGTCTCTCCCTCTGCCAGCCTTCCCCAGCCTCTTTCTGCATCTTCCGCATTCTCCACTTCCTCCGCACCTGCTCGTCTTCCTGGTCCGTGCCGTCGCACACGTCATCCCCGTCTCCGGGAGGACAGACCGGTAGACTGACCAAGCCCCGAGTTCCCAGTCCTCGGGCGGCGTTTAACGTGCCCCGGCAAGGGCGGCCACTTCCTGCACCAGTTTCTGTCGCTTGACGTCGGGACCGTTGTTGTTGTCCTGGCTGGTCTTCTCGCCAGCCTGAGGCTGACTGGTGGTGCTCTCGGCGGCAGCGCGCGCCGCCAGCAGAGTAATCTGGTTGACGACGTTCTCCATCTCGTCGGTGAGGGGGTTCGTCTCCTCGCCGGATTGCGCACCGCCGTCCACGCTGGCGAATTGCTGTTGTTGCTGCTGCTGCTGGCGTTCTTGGGCGGCCTCAAAGCGCGCGCGATGCTGCAGCGTCTCGGCGTGGCGACGCCACTCACTCACGGTGGGGTAAGTGCGCGTCGGCACCGAGAGAGAGAACTCGCACAGCGAGCAGGCGTAGCGCGCCTGCACGAGGCGCAGGGCGCCGCGACGTTGCTGATTGCCCAGGTAGCAGGAGCGCTGGTGCGCCAGCAGTGACGACTCCTGCGGATACGCCCTGCTGCAACGCCGGCACACCAGACACAGCTCGGTCTCCAACTCGCGACAATGCTGCGGCAACGGCCCGTTCTCGTCGGTGGCGCACTGCGCCAGGCTCGGCAGACGGACCGTCTCCACGCCGGGGTGGTTCGGGTCTTGCTGTAGGAACGCCTGCATCAGGGACCGCGGCACTTGCACCTGCGCGCCGCCCTCCACGTGCAGCGGCATCAGACCGCTTCCGAGTAGGCCACCGCTCAAGCCCGCAGCCGCTACTGAAAGCAAAGCGTGATCGATTCTCTTAGAACAAGTCGCAGCTCCCGGTCTGATCTGAGAGAGGCGGGTTATCGCTCAGCATGATAAACTCGGTCTCCATTCTCTTCGAACCACGCCGGATTTCTTATGGTTTAAAACTTTCGTCCGAATAAATCCAAGGGTTTTAGAAAAGAACGACGAAAGATTAGTACTAGAAAAATCAAAAGTACAGAAAAGACGAGTAAAAATGTGTAATCTGGTCGGCCTGAGTCTAAAGCTAATAGCTAGCTAGTACAGGCTAGGTTCAGCTCGTTACTAGTTCATTACTAGCTGATTATTCACTAAAACGTGGAATTGGTTTTAGTGATTTAGCCATCGTTTAACCATTACACATTATATATGATAGAGTAGCTGGCTCTGTCTATTTTAAATATATAATTTAGCTATTATATACTCGCTATTAGTATTTAAAAATGAGGTATTAGTCCTTACATGGTAAAAAATGTTGGTTTAAGAACGGTCCATTGAAAAGTTGTGTTAATTTAACGTGGGGAATGTGTTAAAAAGGACATAAATATATAAAATGGTATTCAAATATAATGCTAAATTCAACATATTCCCCGGAGCAAAATAACACAAAATTTCGGTGGATCATTTTTAACAAAATTCTTTACTGTGTACGCCACATCCGTTCATTTCGATATTGATAGGACGCCATTAGTACAATGATGTATCGAAAAAAAAAATGCTACATTCAACTAAATATTCGCTACGGAGTGTTGGGATTGTTTTACTTGGATTAAATAAATACTTGAACGTAATAAATACACTAAATGAAAAAAGAGGTACATTCAAATAATATTTACTTAATCTAAATAAGATCATAATAAATAAATAATTAATAATTATTCCAATACTTCTTAGCAAATATTTATGTGAACGTAGCATTTTTTCTCTCAATGTTGATACAGATCCTTTGACATTGAGAACAAAAAGTGGTTTATATATTTATCGAATTGGATTTTTAATCGGTGACCAAGAATACGCATAATAAGTATAAAACTCATATCAAACTACAGATTAGGATTGAAATTGGATTGAAATTTAACCAATCTCAACGTTAATCCGCAGTCTGTTACCGGCTTAAAGGCCTTTGCGCGTGAGAAATTTTTAGTCGTAACCGTAAATCCGTAAGAAAATTGATCAATCGCAGTTTGATTATTCTCCTTGCGGTCGAAGAATAATCGACTGCGATTGGTCAATTTTCTTACGGGCTACGGCTAAAAGTTTGTTACGTGCAAAGGCCTTAAGCACGAAAAGCATTCGTAACCACAATGGTCTGCTCCCAAGCTCGCTCGTGAATTTACGTGATGAACATCGCGACGCGCGCGTACAGTTCAACATCCGAAAAGACACATTCTAAACTTGTCCGACTCCCGCAAGGTCGAGATAACACGGCTGGATGGCACATTCGTGCGTAATTGATTTGTGCCAACTTAGTTGTCATAATAGCATCCCCGACGTAACCGGGGGAGAATTTATGCGGAACCTGTTTTTGCCCGAGCGAGACAGGTAAATTGGTAGTTATTAGCTGGCCCGCGGGCCGATGCGCATTGACGGGATAATTCCTGCGGCCGTCTCGAGAAGGAGAGAGAATAAGAGAGAGAGAGAGAGAGAGAGAGAGAGAGAGAAAGAGAGTGAGAACGAGAGAGAAATATGCCGCAGGACTCGATACCGAGGTCCGTGTATCGTGAGGCTTCTCCTGACGCCTCGTCGAATGATTAATTCTAATTTCAGGATCACGCGCCGCGGGAGAAGAGAAGGGGAGAGGCAGTGCAGGAAGGTGCGGGGGAAAGAAGGAAAGGAAATCGCTCTTCTCGCTCGCTCCCCTTTTCCTTCGATCCGCGGAAAAGCCGCGCTGGCAAGAAGGGTGGGCTATAGAAAAATCGCGCGCGGTGGAAGCTCGTCGCGACCAAACTAGTTCGACCGGCGCGACGGTGGCGGCGGCGTCTAATCGTGGCGCGATCTCTGATCGCTGGGTGGACCGACGAGGAGAACGCGCGCGCGGTCGTTTCGACGTCGATTAGGTGGGTTGACAGGTTTACGCAGTGACGCGCACGACTATATCGCGCGTATCATGTATCAGATGAGGAGTCGTTACGAGGCAGGAAGTGTTAATGATACCCCTGCTCATTCGCTGGACGCTCGGCTGTAATTATCAGAGCTAGTGGGGAAGCCTCGGCGAGAGAAGGGCGCAGGGCGGGCTGTTGTTTTCTCTCTCTCTCTCTCTCTTTCCCCTCCCGTTCCTGCTCGTCCTCTCTCACCTCTCCCCCTCCCTCCTCTCGCCATCTCTCCCGACGCCGGCGTGGAATTGATAGTTATTAGACGACGAGACCGGGGAGCACACCCAGAGTCCGGTTCGCGGCAACGGCGTTCTCTCTTTGTCGTCTAATGAGAACCCCTGACACGCACGGCAATCCACTGTTTGACTAACACTTCTCTCCTCCTCTTTCTCTCTTTCTCCGTCTGTCTTCCTGTCCCTCTCTCTTCTTTCCCGGTCCTTCCCGCACTCCTCCGCTCTCTCTCTTTTCTTCGTCTTTCTCTCTCGCGTATCTCGCGTTCGCGTGGATTATGGTTCACCTCGATCGGGCGAGCAAATAATCCGCGTTTTTATGTTCCGCCATCGAAAGGGCCCTTCTCGGAAAGAGGAGGCACGGCCGTGTAGTAAAGAAGGGAGAAAAGTGTTACGGATAAATGGGGGATTAGCGCAACAACATTGGCCACGGTGTATAGTTCTGGTCGCTCTTCTGCTCCCCTTACGGCCTCCGTAGCGTTCGCGGGAATGTGGCAAATTCATTACCGGCGGTCGCGCGGCGAGACCACGCTCGTCCACGCGGGTATCGGAGGCAGCCCGCTCTTCTTGTTTGATATAATCGGCTGAATAATGATCGCCGCGCGCTCGCGTCGCAAATAACGCGCGCACCGTCCGCGCGGCGGATGGGCATTATTGTGGAATTAGAATGTGGCGCGCGGTTTGAGCGAAGGGCAAAAATGACGGGCCATTGCTCAAGTTTAACTTAATCCAACGTGGACGATCGCGCAGCCGTTTCTTATTTATTCCGCGAAGATCGCGCGGACTATGCAAACGTTTCCTCATCATAAAATACTCAGCCCGCCGAGGTGACTTCGTGGTCGTTTGTTGTGGCGTCATCGATTACCACGCGAATTTTTGCACACCCGAGAACATTTCCGGCTCGCGCGGAAATCAAGTTATCGCCGTGTTCAGAGTGTAAATTATCGACACCAGAACCGCCGGGTCAAAATGACTGGTTTATAGTTACAACGAAATATTACTCAAAATTTAATACGGTGCATTTTATATTTTTCATTGACATTGAATGAAACTAAAGAAAACAAACGAAGATTCTTGCCCTTGAATTATGTATTCGCACAAAAATCGGTTGTTTCGGCCGCTCTGGTAGAAATAAATCGCTAATCAACGATAATTCTACACGGTAAAAAACATTTTGTACTTGTGTTAAAATCGGTCTTTGTTAAAATTTTCGTGTTAAATTTTTAATATACCCACGTGCTAATTTAACACATTGTGTTTATATTATCTCCATATTTTGTGTTGAGTCCACATTTTCAACATGTGTAAATATTAAAATAATACATTTTATATTTCAGTATCGATTAACGTATTCATTTTATGTTAACTTTTGACATAATATTTGTGTTACTCCTCAAAATATTCATCTTGTGTTATTAATAATTAACGTAAGAATTTGTATGGACCGATCGGGACATGTGAAACATGTTAACCCTTATCGGTCGTAAGTCACCTCTCACGTGACAACAATACTTCGTCGCTGCAGTCGTACGTCACGTAGGCGGTGACAAGTACGGATGTATTTATCGTGGAAGCTACAATCTAGTGAGAATCACGCATAAAAAGCTACCGTCCGATAAGGGTTAAATTTAACATAGGATTTTTTATTGTGTAACATTAAATTTATTTTCCTTATAGAAGTCGAATGTTATCAATTGTTTATAGAGTCGCACGGGTGAAAAAATATCTACTCTGGTGTAGAATCGCGTTTGACTCCGCGGTCACGTTCCCGGATCAATGGACAATGGCGTTTTTATTAATACACCGTCGCCGCGAAGTATAACTCCGTTCGGCACAACTCAACCGGAGGAAACGAAACTTGCTCAACGATATGATCTGTTTAGCCGATAGACTTCTTTCCAAGGTCGTCATCTCGGCCCTCCGTTGTGCGCATGAGAAAGAGAGAGAGAGAGAGAGAGTCTGAGCGAAGATGTAATATAATAAAGAAGATCGTTAAGTAACGCGTAGCGTCGCAGCCGGACGATCCGTGTGACACCCTTGAAACAATCGAAACAGTTGAGGAGAGGGATTATTACTCTTAATGAGCACTGGTTATTTCTTTGAGTGGCTTTGATTTGCCCTCCCTTCCGTCCTCTAGTATCTCCGACATCCTCGACGGACAAGAGAGTCTATGTCGTGTGCTTTCACGAACACGCGTGCGTATGATCCGTAATAAAATCGTTGGATTTTTCTTTTTTTCCCTAGTCGAAATTTTGGTCTTACGTTAAACCTTGAATTCTACAAGACAGTAAGAGCTAAGATAGCGAAATAGGGATTCGGTTTCAGTTGTAACAGTAGAATTTACTCTTACTTTGACCTTGATGCTATTAAATTTCCCTTTTCGTTGTTTCAATGTTAAAATAATTTGTTCAAGATAGCGTTCGAATTAAATCTGAATTAAAGATTGAAAAGAAAAGTTAACGAGTATTAGTATCGTTAAAGTACACACAGAAAAACACATATTATAAAATAAATCTTACTTATTCCAAATATATACCAAGCGAATATATCACAAGTTCATTACAGGCATTAAATATATTCAAAGTATATTTTGAATTCCAGTAAGTTTATTATACTTCAATCAAAAATATTAAATTAAAACAAAACTCGAATTCCTTAAATTGAGCT